AATCATAAGATTACGGTCAAACGTCAAAAATTTTATAAAAATGACTATGAAAGAGTTGCGTTTATCTTTTAGGTTCAAATCGAAAAAATACGTATGTCAGGTTTTTAAAGGCAGGGATATTTTACGATAGGTGTCTGTGACTTGTTGGCAATAAATGTCGACAACAAACGCACAGCACACAATCCACTTGTTTTACAATAATTTATAAAAAACAAGTTAAACATATGCACAAAATCTCGATACACTATTGGTTAAACAGTTGTATCCAGAGCTTTGAATAACACAGGACTGAGAATTTAATCTTCATAAAAGTTTTTTTGGTTTTAATAAAGGAGATGCCATAATTCAGCTACGCAGATTTCGAAAACAACATTCTTTTTTTTATCACGTAAGGATTTTTTATAAATATGGAAGGAGAAAAACCCTTACTTAGATCAAATTTACCACAACTATAACAGAATATATTTGGGTCAGTTACATAATCTCTTGTTGCCATAGCGACGAATAAATAATACTAAAAAGAAAAAAAAATAATGTCAGAGTGCACGCACAAACAAATACTATCCAGAAATGACACGTCATTGAGCCTGTTAACCGTTTATATTCTAGCGGTGGGTTATAGAATGATCGACAAGACTCCCACGTCGCGATTGGTCTAGATAAATCTATTACCAATGGTTGTCAACATTTTAAGCATAACAGAATGTGACCCGATTTCAAATAAAATGATTCACTAATGTAAAAGTGCATATGACGATTTGTGAAAAATCTCTACGTGATGGAGAAAAATGGATATTATTTTCGGATTCAATGTACAGGAATTACTGTAGAACATGTCAAAATTTCAAGTCCACACAGGCAGGTTCAATTACTTTAGAACACACTTTGAAAAGACAATTATTCTTATTTATCTCTGTTGTTACAATACTACTGTGAAACTCACTTTAGATATTGTCTGTTATGGCTAAACTAACAATCACGCAGTCTAACTTCACTTTCACTAGCTTACCTTACCTTCTTACTTGCTCTCTGTATCTACACGTACTTATAATACACGATAGAAAAATCTAGAAATATCTAGCCCTCTAGTAACAACAATATTAAACATGACAAGAAAAACTTTGAAACTTAGAATAAGATGACGAAAACAATATTACGAAAGCCTAATACAACAATTAAACTGTATACACAACGTAAGACTCGCACAGAGTTATGTAACAAAACTTATTATAACTATCGCTTTTAAACACAATTAACTTTAAACACACTTCTTATGAAACTGAATAATCATTAAATATTAAATAACTAAATGATAACTCTTAAACTAAACAATCTTGTTTATCCAACAATAAACCCCTCTTCAAGAAAAATATTTATAATATTTTTATACTATATACAAAGACCACCAAATTTCCTCCTATGGTCTGCACTAACATTTGCAGTTCCTTTGTTAGTCTCTCTTCGCATAGGGCAGCTGGTAGGGTTTCACCTCGACAGGATCCTTTGTCTTCGTCTTGATCTGGTGTTGCTTGAGATCTGTTTTGCCTGATCCATCTGTGAAGAAATCAGTGTACTGACACAGTTGCTCCTGTAGGTCATTCTTCTGCTTGCCAGTCAATTCTTGGTTTGTTTGATCTACACCTAATGGTCTTAGGCCTAGAAGGTCTTTATCTTCTATAATATATTCAATGTCTTCAGGTTCTGCTTCTAGGACATCTATACCTGCCGTGTCCATCTATGTCTCAATAGCTGCATCTGTCAGGTGAACTACCTTTTCAATGAATTAGCATTGTAGATCTTTATTTTCCCGTCCACTTTTACCTTATAGTACCTTCTGGTGATAACTTATTGCACTTCAAAAGGTCCTTACACTGCAGGGTGAGTTTGTTCTTGTCTGTGGGTAGCAGAACTAAGACTTTCTGTCCGACTTTAAAATGTTGATCCTTGATCTTCTTGTCATAGAAACGCTTCTTACTGCCTTTGATGTGTTTAGCTTCCGCAGAAAAACTGCTTTGACAAGTCCAGTACAGTACTCCTTTCCGGTACTCTGTTTGTACTTCTCTTTCCATTTTGTATTGTGCTCAACATTCTCTCATGCACTGTCCGAAAGTTTCTGCAGTGACGGGTTTTTCTTCTGCTCTTTATTTAATACCTGCAGCTCTACATTCGGGATGTTCCCTTTTGATACTTGCAGGGGTTTGATGTCTTGCTTGCTCTTCTTTTCTGTAGCTTCAGAGTGCAGATGCTTGGTCAGTCTTCATTCTGTTTGGTTCTTCCAAACTTCTGCTGCCTGGTATATTTCCAATCACAAAGTCATAGATCGGTGCCTTCATACACATGGCCTCAAGGTCTCCCACATAGTATGTAGTGTCCACCTTTATACTTGCTATGTAAAAAATGCTCACTGTCCTATCAATCAGCACACACAAGCATACCCTGCCCGTTATCTGATCATCAGATACTAGACTGGTTTTCACTACTGCACCCAATATCTTGTAGGATTTTCACTTTCTTGTCCCCGACATAGCCTTCGCTTAATAACATGTTGTGATCTATTGTCACCTCTCGATGTTTGTCACATGCTCTGATCACTACTGGCACTGTTGATCCTTTTGTAACTTGAGCTAACCGTCAGTCATACACTAATTAATCATGGAAATAGCACTTTCTTCTTGTGGTGAATCTGCTGGGTTGTCACTGTTCTGTAATTGCTGGCAGCAGCATTCATGGTGAAAGTCACTCTTTTCTTGTTTCTTGCAAACACCATCTTTATAGGTAGCTCCAATTGCTTTGTGTTGATATTTCTGCTGTTGCTTGTTGGGGATGGACTTTCACTCCTTTGCAATATGCCCCATTTTATAACAAATATAACATCTCTCTTCATTTTTATTCACTGAGCTCTTGTCATCTTTGGTGGTATCCTGTTCCTCGTCAGCCACCACTGGTTTCAACTTTAACTGTTTATTTTTGGCTTTGCCATTTATACTCCATTCATGGGCTTCCATATACTGTTCTGCCGGCTTGATCATCTCTTCCACCTCTTTTGGTGCTCTCACCTTTAGGAACAGTGACATCTCACTTGAGCACGTGATCATGAACTGTTCACGTATTATTAGGTCTGCCAGTACCTCAAAACTATTTTCACACTTGGCCATGTCAGTCCATTTTGTAAAGTATCGCCGTAGACGTGCCACAAACTGAAATACAGTTTATCTAGTGTCAAGTTTGAATTATCTGAACTTCTGACCAAAAGCCTTATTCAGTAAGCTCATGGCGTTTCAGTAAGGACTTTTTTAAATTGTCATAGTTCATAGCATTTCAGCAGGGCCATTTTTAATTTGTCATAGTCCATGGCATTTTCTGATGTCATGCCTGCATATACTTGTAGACCTTTTCCTGTGAGAAGTGGGCTGAGACAGACTGCCCAGTCACCTCTGTCCCAGTTTTGAATTTGGGCAAATCTCTCCAAGAAAGTATCCAAGCAAATTGGATCGGCTGATTCAGTCCCCATTGTCATTCTTAGGTTCTTTCTCTTTCTGTTGAGTGAGCTTGGCGATCTCAATTTGTGTTCTTATTAACTCTATTTTCAGTTTCTCCTCTCTCTCTCTCTCTCCTTTTCTTCTTTAACAATTTGTGCTCTTATTTCTATTTTCTTTCAGTCTTTCTTCCTCTCTTCTCTGCCTATGCTCTTCTCTCCCTCTCTAGTTCTTGTTGTTGTTTGACAAACTCTCGTAGGTCGCCATCTTTGAATCCAAGACACTCACCTCTCTCTGT